TTCTGAAATTCTTTTCTTCTCTTTCTTTTTTTGTTATTTCTCACCTCTGGTTTTTCTCTGAGTGTTCGTCTTTTTGTTGTTGTCGGTCTCTTGGGGAGATTAAGCGTTGGAACTCGAACTCTCTTTTTGGTTGGAGAGAGCTGTGGCGTTTCCCTACTGCCCCGTCGCCATCTTGGTCCCCCCTCCCCTTGCTCAGCTTTCTTACCTCACTGGTGTGCCATCACTTGAGACACACCTCCAGACTACCTTTTTGTTGATTATTTGGACTTAGAGTCTCACAGACTTTTCTGCTTGGGCTGGCTTTGAACTTGAATTCCCTGGATTTCAGCTTTCTGAATAGCTAGGATTACAGATGTTTGTGAGCCATGGGTGCCTGGCCAGAAAGTGAATTTTAACAATGTTGTTCGTCTGGTGTTTGCTTTTATAACATATTTAATGAAGACCATTTTCACCAAAAACATGACTGAATTCTAGTTTTAGAATCTCTGACAGTTACAACAGTGCTAACTTCCAGTTGATGTTTCAAATTAGCTTTCCCGTCTCCCAGAACAGAACCTCTGACAAATTTTATAAATAAAGGGGCAGAATTCTGCTGAACATCTAGTAGGTTATTTCTAGATGATTTATAGAGGCTATAACATATATTACATATATTTATGTTATATATGTTTATATAGATGGTGTGTGTGTGTGTGTGTGTGTGTGTGTGTGTGTGTGTGTGTATGCTACTAAGGATTGAACTAGGCTTCACACTTGCTAGGCAGATGCAATAACATGATTCATGCCACCAACCCATGTAATGCTCATGTTCTTACTCATCTTGTTCACTTGGTATATGATTTACCAGACAGGAGAGGAAGGGAAAAGCAGTCTTATTCAGTCTTACTCTGAAAGCTTAATAATCAGCAAACAAAGGTTAAGGTGTTAGAGTAAATTCTATCCCTTACCTTCCTTGCCTTGTTCATACCAGGGACTATGACATTCAGAATGGGTTTTTTGTTTGTTTTTCTTTTGCTAGTCCTAGGCTTCAAAATTCAGTCTGGACACTGGCCCTGATCATTTGTGCTCAAGGCTGATGCTCTACCACTTGGACCACTGCTCCACTTTTGGCTCTTTGCTGGTTAATTGGAGACAAGGATATTACAGATTTTCCTGCCCTAGGCTGTCTTCAAACTGTGATCCTCAGATCTCAGCCTCCTGAGTAGCAAGGATTTGAGGTGTGAGCCATCAGCTAGCACTGGCACTCAGAACATTTTAAAGGAGAAATATTTTAGTCGTGACTTACTGAACCTACAGCAACAAAAATAATTCTCAAATGAAAATCTAAGATCACAGATTTATATAGAGTTACCAATGAAACTTTCAAAAGTTAAATAGTGAAGAAAGTTGCTTCTGTGATAGTACTTCATAGTATTGCATTTTGTCAGGGGGTCTTTCATTGCTTACTGTCTGTTCTTAAAGTAGTTACGGTGTTTATAAATGGATCTGTGGCTACAAGAGGATAATTAGAAATCTGCTGAATGATCAGGAGTGGTTTCCTGGTTCTTGGCATTGCTCTGAATGTCTTTTTTATTTCTAGAATTACAATTAAATGCTTTATCAAAGCAAGACATTCAACTTTATATTCAAAAGAAATTGTGTGTGTGTGTGTGTGTGTCAGTCAGTCCTGGGGTTTGAACTCGGCCTAGGCACTGTCCCAGTGCTTTTATGCTAGTGCGCTACCACTTAAGCCACAGTTCCTGCTTTTTTCATGGTTAATTGGAGATAAGCATCTCACATACTTTCCTGCCCACGCTGGCTTTGAACCTTGATCTTCAGATCTCAGCTTTCTGAGTAGTTATGATTACATGTATGAGCCACCAGTACCAGCTATCTTCTTTCACTACCCAGAGTTATGGTTAGCATTAAACAAAGACTACAACTCACTTTTGAGAACAGACCCAAGTTCTTGCTCCATTTTCTTTCAACACATTGCTTTACTTCTAAAAATGCATCAATGGCAAACACAAGGTATATAAAACCTATAAAACCACCCTATCTACCCACACATTTGTCTACAGATTAAGTCAACCCTGGACCATGAATTTGAGGTTAATGTCTTAAAAAAAACCAACTTGTATTCATATTCAGAAAATAATATTGATCCAAAAAAATCTCTCTCTACTCCTCCCTCACAATCCAGAACTTTTTTTTTCTTTGTCAGTTCTGGGGCTTGAACTCAGGGCTGGGCACTGTCCCTAAGCTGCTTTTGCTCAGTCAATGCTAGCACTCTACCACTTGAGCCACAGTGCCACTTATAGCTTTTGGGGGGGGGGGGTCAGTCATGGGCCTGAGACTGTTCCTGAGCTCAAGGCTAGTGCTCTACCACGTTAAGCCACTTTGCCACTTCTGGTTTTCTGGTGGCTAATTGGAGATAAGAGTCTCACAGACTTTTCTGCTTAGGCTGGCTTTGAACCTTGATCCTTAGATCTCAGCCTCAGGCGTGAGCCATCAGCATCTGGCCTGGCTTTTTCTGTGTATGTGGTACTGCAGAATTGAACCCAGGGCTTCATGCATGCTAGGCAAGCACTCTACGACTAAGCCCCATTCCTAGCCTAGAACTTTTGTGATTTTCTATTTTTGGAAACTATATTTTCCCATTTGCAGATGCTCTTTCAAGGGGAATTTTTCTTTAAATATTATATTTTCTTTTAAATGAGGAAGAAAAGAAAATAATTCCTCTTTTATCTTTTAATCTCTTATCCTTCTTAAAATTTTTTACCTTCAATTGATAAAGTTGGTCCTTGGGTTTGACATGAGAACATGTTTATGGGAAAAAAAATACTACTTGATGGTTTGCAAAAATTTCTTTCATGGAATGATAGTACACATTTATAATCCCAGAACTTGAGAGGATAAAGTAGGGGACCATGAGTTCAAGGCCAGCCTAGGCTACATAGCAAGATCCAGGTCAGCCTGGGTTGTATAATGAGACTCTTTCTCAAAAACACACGCATAAAAAGACATTTGTAATATGTCTGTGCCTCTCTGTTGAGGCATGTTTAATTATATTTAAAATATGAACTCTTATGTCATGTGTTGGTGGCTCACACCTGTAATCCTCAGGAGGCTAAGATTTAAGAATTATGGTTTGAAGCCAGCCTGGGCAGGAAAGTCCATGAGACTCTTATCTCCAATAAACCACTGGAAAACCATAAGTGATGCTGTGGCTCAAGTGGTAGAGCACTTGCCTTGAGCTACAGAGCACAGGGACAGCGCCCAAGCCCAGATCAAGCCCCACAAGCGACCCCCCCCCAAAAAAATCCTGAAGTGGAGTTGTCACTTAAGTGGTAGAGCACTGCCCATGAGCACAAAAGTCCAAGGATAGCACCTAGGCCCTGAGTTCAAGCCCCAGGACTGGCACCAAAAAAAGAAAGGGAGGGAGAAAGAAAGAAAGAAGGGGGAAAGAAAAAAGAAAGGAAGGAAAGAAGAAAGAAAATGAACTATTGTATATTGTATAAGAATTAGTCAGCTGGAGCTGGCCCAGTGGTAGAGTGCTTGCCTTGCAGACATGAGGTTCTCGGCTCAATTCTTTAGCACCACATAAGCAGAAAAGGCCGGAAAGGGCGCTGTGGCTCAAGTGGTAGAGCACTAGTTTTAAGCTGAAGAGCTGAGGGACAGCACCCAGGCCCAGAGTTTAAGCCCCACGACCGACAAAAAAACAAAACAAAAAATTAGTGAGCTAGACTTTTTAATTTTGGTAACTATCACCTATCTAGTACTTAATTCATTACTTACTTTTTTATATTATGATTCAGCATGTTTTAAATTTGTCTTCAGTTCCCCAAGACTTATTTTTCTCCTGAGCCAAAACAAAGTTAATATTGAGTCTGAGAATGAAAAAATTCCAGTTATTTCTGCCAGTATGAAAACTCAATGAGAGCAAAATTCTTTTTTGCTTTATATTTCTGACTTTGTTGTTTTGTTCTTACTTCCTAGAGTCTGGAATAGTGTCTGTGACAAGTACACAGAAAAGTACTTGGGGGACGAGAGCAGGAGGATCTGAGAGCAAGGCCAGTTTGGCCTTGCTTAATGAAGTATTTGCTTAATGAACGACTGAAATAACTCTTTTATAAAAGAGTATTTTTTGTGGTATTTGTTGTTGCTTTAGGCTTACTTATGTGTTATATTGTTCTACTATGAATGGCAACGGAATACTGAAGGGGATTCCTGAAGTACCTGAATGATACAGAAAGAAACAAATAGGAATTAATGATCATGAGGCAGTAGTAGGGAATAGGCCCTGAACACACCAGACCTACTAAAGTCCTCCCTCCTTTTGCGTCTTCCTAGGAGCGCTCACCGTGGGCCTTGTGCGACAATGTCAAACTATCCATGGACGAGACAGGACATGTATCCCTCCCCGACTCCCCCCAGAGTGGGTCACCACACTGTTTTTTATCATCATGGGAATCATATCATTGACTGTCACATGTGGTTTGCTAGTGGCTTCCCACTGGCGAAGAGAAGCTACAAAATATGCTCGATGGATAGCATTCACTGGAAGTAAGTAACCTGTGCGTACTAAATTGGTCTAGGAGGTACCCACTCTGGTATTTCATGGTGATAATCAACAGTCAATAACAAGGATTCCATAACCATCTTAAGAGCACCACTTGCTTTGGCCAAAAACTGCCCAGCTCATCAGTTCTTCAGAACTCATCATTCAAGGCCAGGAGTTCACAACCAAATGCTTTGTGGAAAATGTTATTTTTGTGATATAGGTACTCCAGGTTTGTGACATAGAGCTATTACTAGCCTGAGTCTTTTCATTTCTTTCTTAAAGATACTAGTATCTTCTATCCAAATTAAAATGAATCTTAAAAAAAATATACTGCATGAATTAGATGGAAGGTGATGACTGATTTTTCAATACTGATTTTGTGAGTTTTCTGTGTCTTTTATGACCGTTGAAAAGACAATACATTTGATTATTTAATCATTACATTTCAGCATTTCTTACTCTACTATGTCACGTGGCAATAAATTCACACTGGCTTATATTTTGCAAAATTGGTTTAACTTCAAAATACCAGCTGTTTATCCCAACTTAAAGGCATAAAGGCACAAAGAAAAGTTATTTCTGTAATTGTGCTTTTTTTCTGAAGCAGTTTTGCACCCCAGGGGACCTTTAGCAATATTTGTAAACGTATTTAATAGTCACAACGTAATGGAGATTCTCCTGGCATCTTGTGTATAGAGGCTAGAAATGCTGTTGCACATCCAACACATACACAAGACAATCCCCCACAGCAGGGTCACTCGACCCCATATGAAAGCTAAAGAAATGGAAAGGACATTACATGTGCAGAACACTAAGAAATGGCTAATTCAGTGTTTGAAAGTCACCGCAGCTTACTTTCATCTGCGTGGATCCAGGTGTGGTGGCTTATGTCTGTAATCCCAGCCACATGAGAAGCAGTGAATTAGGATCTTGGTTCATGGCTAGCATGGACAAAATATTTTTAAGATGCCATCTCAACTCATGCAGAGTATGTCATCCCAGCTAAATAGAGGATTTTGGTCCATGCCAGTTCTGGGGGAAATAGTGAGACCCTATCTCAAAAATAAACAGTAAAAAAAAGGCCACACATATGGCTTGGCAATGGACTGCCTGCCCAGCAAGCAAAAGCAACAGAAATAACTAATATGGACTAAGGGATTAACTCAGGTACCCTATTAATAATGGAACTCAGTAGCTATGTAGGAGACTGAAATCTGGAGGATTGTAGTTCAAAGCCAGCCAGGGAAGAAAATTCTGTGAGACACTATCTTCAAGGTAACTAGCAAAAAGCAAGGGTAGAGTGATAGATCACCAAGCAAGCAAGCTGAGCAAGCTCAAAAACTCTTAAGTTTAAACTCGGCTAGGCCGTGTGTGTGTGTGTGTGTGTGTGTGTGTGTGTGTGTGTGTGTGTGTGTGTGTGTGTGTGTTAGAACTCAGTTTATCTGGGCTAGAGATGAAGATGAAGCTTAATAACAGAGCACTTGCCTAGCATATGCAAAGGCTTTTTTCCCCCTGGGGCTTGAACTCAGGGCCTGGGTACTGTCCCTGAGCTGCTTATCCTCAAGGCTATAGCACTCTACCACTTGAGCCACAGTGCCACTTCTAGATTTTTCTGTTTATGTGGTACTGAGGAATCAAACCCAGGGCTTCATGCATGCTAGGCAAGTACTCTACCACTAAGCCACATTCCCAGCCCTGCAAAGCATTCCCCAGTACTGGGAGACAAACAAAACTCCTTCCTGTAAAATGGTGCTACTCCTTCTGGAGTCTGTTTCTAGCTTTTTTTTTTTTTTTTTTGGTCTGAAACCAGAGGTTTGCTTTTGCTGGCGTTCTACCACCCAAGCCAAGCCTCTAATCCCCTCTTCCTAACTATCTGTGAAACTTTCTGTTTACATTTCTGGCTCTGTTTTGCCTATATATCACCCTTGATTTTAGTTTTAGATCATTGCCTTTGATGTAAACATCTCCACCCTTGTTAAGCTGTGAGAGACAAGTTGACATCTCTCCTGTCAGAGAAGTCTCTTGAGACAACTCTTTTCTAGAGAGTAAGGGCTGGAGGCAATTTAAGAGCAAAGTAGCTAAATCAAAAGTTATCAGGGAGGATTGTAAAGAGGCTAATCCTTCCTCCCTTAGTCACCAGCACAATCTCATCTCCCAGTCTAGATAGAATTCATTCTTTACAGAGTTCAGTAATATCCAGGAAGGACTTGGTCTCTGCACTTAGTTGAAATTTGGTAGTACTTGTGCTCTGAGCACCAAGGTCTAAACTATAAGTTAACAGAGGCAAAGCAAACATTAAAGAGTTTTTCATGGGCTGGGAAGGTGGCTCAGTGGTAGAGCGCTTGCCTTGCATGCATGCGGCCCTGGGTTCGATTCCTCAGCACCACATAAACAGAAAAAGCCGAAAGTGGTGCTGTGGCTCCGGTGGTAGAGTGCTAGCCTTGAGCTGAAGAGCTGAGGGGCAGCGCCCAGGCCCAGAATTCAGGCCCCACGACCGGACCCAAAAAATTAAAAAAAAAAAAAATTCTTTCATGAGCCATTTGTTCAGCTGAACCACTGAAGGAAAGAACTCAGATTACCTTTTTTATATTCCTCTTCAGCAGAGAATATTTAAGTGGAGTTGATCTCAAGTGCAAGGTGTTTTTACTTTTATCTTTGTTGTGATCTAATGTTTCGAAATAATATGTGTATATGATACATATTTTAAAGTTTATTGCGAGTGTAACCAACTAAAATGTCTCTTTTATGATTCCATCTCCCAATCCTCAATAACCTCTTTCCTGGAGTCAGTCACTGTTCACCACCTTCTGAAGTTTTCTACTAGCAGTATTCTGTACATAGAAAACTGTATGTACATGTGTATGTTTTATAAACATATACTTATATAAAAATTGCCACATACTATTCTGTGCCTTTGTTGTTGTTTTTACTTGGAGTTAATTTTGCCTAATTTACTCTTAGCTTCCTTAGTTTTTGTTGCCAGAGCTCCTTTGCTAGGAACTGTTCTGAGAGGAAATTGGCTCCCCCTAGTGTTAGCTTCCAGTCCTAGAAGATTCGCATTATATCTTCTGTATAATTCTGTATTTCAGTTTTGTGTGTTTTTTTTTTTGTCGGTCGTGGGGCTCGAACTCTGGGCCTGGGCGCTGTCCCTCAGCTCTTCAGCTTAAAGCGAGTGCTCTACCACTTGAGCTACAGCGCCACTTCCGGTTTTCTGGTGGTTTATTGGAGATAGGAGTCTCACGTCTCTCCTGCCCGGGCTGGCTTTGAACCGCGATCCTCAGATCTCAGCCTCCTGAGTAGCTAGGATTACAGGCGTGAGCCACCAGTGCCCGGCTTGTATTTCAGTTTTGTAACATTATGTAGTTTTATAATATTTTTTTCTTTTCTTTCTTTCTTTCTTTTTTTCCAGTCATGGGCTTGAACTCTGGGCCTAGGTATTGTCCCTCAGCTCTTCAGCTCAAGGCAAGTACCCTACCACTTGAGCCACTAGCACCACTTCTGGTTTTCTGAGTGGTTTATTGGAGATAAGAGTCTCACGGACTTTCCTGCCCAGGCCGGCTTTGAACTGTGATCCTCAGATCTCAGCCTCCTGAGTAGCTAGGATTACAGGCGTGAGCCACCAGCACCAGCATTCTTTTTATTCTTTTTTTTTAATTTTTGTCATTTGTGGGTCTTGCACTCAGCCTAGGTGCTATTCCTGAGTTCTTTTTGCTCAAGCGAGTACTCTATCACTTTAAGCCACAGCACCACTTCTGATTTTCTAGTGTTTCATTGGAGATAAGAGTCTCACAGACTTTACTGCCCTGGCTGGCTTTGAACCCCAATCCTCAGATCTCAGCCTCCTGAGTAGCTAGGATTATAGGCATGTGACACCAGCCCTTGGCTTAGTTTTGTAATGGGGAAATGTGTCTCAGGAGAGCCCCCACATGATGGGTCATAAGAAAAACAAAGACAAGGCCTGGCTTCAAGGTTCTCCTGCCCTTTCCCTGTCACTCCAGTTTACAGCCTCATCCACCAGAACATCCCATTTCTCCCTCTCCCCACCAAGAAATGCATGCCTGGGGGCTGGGGAGATGGCTCAGTGGTAGAGCGCTTGCCTTGCATACATGAGGCCCTGGGTTCGATTCCTCAGCACCACATAAGCAGAAAAAGCAGGAAGTAGCACTGTGGCTCAAGTGGTAGAGTGCTAGCCAAAAAAAAAAGAAAGAAAGAAATGCATGCCTGGAGAGCACAAGCTCATCAGGACCCAGTCTTCATCTTCAAGGCTTGGCAACTATTACCAGCATTAATGGTGTTTTCTGATCTAAAGTAGACATCAATAGCTTAAAAGAAAAACTCATCCATCTGCATTAAATCTAGTGCCTAGGAATTACAGAGAGGTAATGATTCCTGGGTCATGTATAGATCAAATGGGAATTTGTTGCTTCCTTAATACTTGGTTAAGTTTTTCCTAACCAACTTGGAAAATATTTAACTCTCAAATACTAAATTCTAGCTGGGCGCTGGCCACTCATGCCTGTGATCCTCGCTACTCAGGGGGCTGAGATCTGAGGATTGCAGTTCATAGCCAGTCCAGGCAGGAAAGTCTATGAGACTCTTATCTTCAATTAACCACCAGAAAACCGGAAGTGGTTCTATGGCTCAAGAGGTAGAATGCTCACCTTGAGCTGAAGAGCTGAAGAACAGCGCCCAGGCCCAGAGTTCAAGCCCAATGTCTGACAAAATAAATAAATAAATTCTAAATATAGTTACTAAATGAGCCCTCCATTATGAATGATAGATTATTATTTTACAGTAGAAAAATAGGGAAGAATAGAAATGTGGTAGGCACATCAGTTAAGAGAATGAACCAATTTAATGTTTATCACTAAAGCACTTTAAATTATTTTAGTGTTTCTTGAATTGGATTAGTCAACATTAGGAAAAAAATCTGTTTTTAAAATAATCTTGTCCCTACCAGGAGCTGATGGCTCAGGCCTGAAATCCTAGCTACTCAGGAGATCTGAGGATCACAGTTCAAAGCCAGCATAGGCAGAAAAGTCCCTGTGAGACTCATATCCAATTAACCACTCAAAAACCAGAAATGATGCTGTGGTTCAAATGGTAGGGTGGTAGCCTTGAGTACAAAGAAGCTCAGGGAAAGCATCCAGGCTGTGAGTACAAGTCCTACAACCGACCAATAAAAACAAAAATCTAGTTCCATAGCATGCGTGTGTGTGTGTGTGTGTGTGTGTGTGTGTGTGTGTGTGTTGAAATAGGGTTTCACTGAATAACCCAAGCTGGTCTTGAATTCAAAATTTCCTCCTTTGTCTTAGAGTACTGTGATTATATACTTATAGGTGGTATGTGTATATATATTTGTGTATATATTTACATATTTTATATATTATATTAACATATATATTATATAAACATATATATAAATATATATACACATACACATATCTATATATGCCCCCATGCCCAGTCCCATTGTGGTTTTTATTAGATTGTTATAATCATCTAAATTGTGATTTCATTTTATCAGCAAAACCAAATTAAGTCATAAAACAGTTAGTAATTGGTGTCATGATAAGTGAGCCCCTAACAGCTCACTACCACGAAAAGACCAAAACTGTAATAAAGTTTATTGCCTGAATTTTTCATTTGTTCTGTACCATTTCATTTGTTCCTATCATAAATAATCCAAGCTTGCTTATGTAATATTATTTGATGTGGTCATTCATCCAAAATGAAACCAGTTGAAATAATATGTGTATATTATATGTCTATATAATATATCGTAAGCTATCTCAGTGGTAAAAGCAAAGAATACTAGTGTGTTTCCATAGTGAATGTTGGTTACTTTTTAAATGTATTGTTGGAAATATTTCCACCCTAAAAAAAGAATTCCTAATTGGCTTTTTAAGGACTTTTATGTTAAGTTCTACTGACTGGTGACCCAGAAAATTTTAGAAACAAGTGTCACCGGATACTGTTATCCAGGTCTCTCTCCATATTCCTGGAGACTGTTTTAACTTAGAAAAGGTTTCACATTTAGCTAATAGGTGGAAGCTTCAACTTCTCATCTATAGTGGCTAATAATCTGCATATTACATGGAATTGAAATAGTTCTTTTACCAAAATATTTGAGGCGCTATGAGCATTTAACCAATCTGCCTTTAAAACCCCACATTTGTTTTTGGAAAAGCTAGCCATCTGTAGGTGATTTATTTTCACTGAGAAAAGTGTTTCTTTGGTAGCACAGAAGAACATGCTGTTGCTAAAAGATTAGACCAGAATTACTTCTACCAGGACACTGGGTTTCTGATGTGTTTCTAAAACCATTTTAGTAAATAATATATGTCATTATCTTAATATGCAAAATGCAATAAAGGTTTCTTACCCTCCCTCATACATCTCTGTATACAGAAACCTGATAAAATTTTTATTTCTTGGGGCTGGGAAGGTGGCTCAGTGGTAGAGTGCTTGCCTTGCATGCATGAGGCCCTGGGTTCGATTCCTCAGCACCACATGAGCAGAAAAAGCCAGAAGTGGTGCTGTGGCTCAAGTGGTAGAGTGCTAGCCTTGAGCTGAAGAGCTGAGGGACAGCGCCCAGGCCCAGAGTTCAGGCCCCACGATGGGCCAAAAACACAAAAACTATTTCTTTGGAACATGGTCCATGATAAGAGATAACCACTCTGACAATTTGTTAGTCATCCCAGAGAGATGATATTCTTCTTACTAGCAAATTATCAATCAGAGTAAGAGAAATGCTGCTTATTTTTAACGCACTTTTTCTCCAATTCCTTCTAATTAATATTAGGAGGATTAAGAGGATTGACAGGATAATACTGCACAGCATTTATTCAACACTTTCTGCTAACCTGGCACTTTGCCAGGGACTTGACATTATTATATTTTAACCCTCCTAATATTTCTGGCATTTCCAGAAAGCAGTGAAAGATTAGCTAGAGAGAAGAGGAGCAGAGCTTTACTCCAACTCTAGCCATCTTAGTTCCTATTCTGAGTGGTTTAGTATAGTATAGATGAGTACTTAGAAGAAGACCTTTCTTAATGCTGATGATTCAGAATTATCCTGGAGTGTATATAAAGGGTGAACTCAGCAAATGCTATATTTATTAGGCATCAGAAACATTTTCTGTAGTATATGCAGATCTTTTGATAGTAGGCCCCTATTTCAACAGGTTTGGACTTTGTGATCAATGTACAAGCTGTATATATTTCCTTCACCAAACTATGTTACTAATGCTATGTTTTGGTTTGTTTTCCAGTGATCCTTTTCTGTATGGCTGCCCTAATATTTCCGATAGGATTTTACATCAATGAAGTCGGAGGTCAACCTTATAAATTACCCAACAACACAGTGGTTGGGTCATCATATGTACTTTTTGTCTTATCAATTTTCTTTACAATAGTAGGACTTCTGTTTGCTGGCAAAGTTTGTTTACCAGGCTGATGAATGTCTAAACTGCTTGACTCTTATTATTTTTTTATTTTATTCTATTTTATTTTTTAATTTTGAGAGACAGGAGGACAAAGACAAGGCATCTGAGCATTCCTGTCCTGGGAAGATGCTTAGGTGAAACCAATGCCGAAAAATGCTTCTGATGTGTTCTCACTATGCACTTTGGATTAAAAAATAATAATAAGGAGAGCCTTTTCCATAACCAAATACAGACAATATTGACTAAATCTCCTGAGTATATTCAGGCAGTCAATCTGCACTGTGATAGTGACCTAGAGAAGGAGAATGCTTTATACTGAAAAGCATGTGGCCCTTTGGGACTCCATTGTTCCGTTTTTAATGTCTAATGATTCATTTGTGGAAAAAAAGTCTAAGTATTTATGAATCATGGTGAACCAGAGGGATGCAAGGAAGCGTGGGGCTGGCCTCACATCCTAAGAAGTTAGTGTTCACAGCTTCCCTGTAATGGTGGGGGCCCTTGGCACCAGAAGGGGTTGCTGATGCATTACTGTACCAAGAAGCCAATAGATCAAACCCTGTTCGTAAAATGTATGTAAAAATTCTGAAATTCCCTAATCTCTGTGTACAAAGAGAGAGAAAGAAAGAAAGACAGACAGACAGAAAGAGAAAAGAATACTATTAGACACATTTGGGGTGGGTGGGTGGGGAAAATCTTCCTTATATTTATATAAATATATATAATATATATATTTTGCTGATGCAGTATACAATGTGTATATATGTATGTATGTGTATGTGTGTGTGTGTGTGTGTGTGTGTGTGTACGTTTATATACACACACATGCAAACAGTTCCTGGAGGAGAACTCTGAATGCTTTGCTAGCAAAACACTGTGGTGTGCAAACCTAGAACTCAATAGAGAAAAGCCATTTAGCTGAAGGCTGTATAGCGGAGAGAGTCTTCAGTTTACCTCATTCTTTGTAGCAGCCCTTGATTTTAACAGGTTTTTGTAATAGGTGCAAATAATCCCATACCTTTCTAGGTGCAATTTTAAGTTAAGCTAAAAATTCTTTCTAGGTTTAATTTATTTGTATATGATAATAGAAGGTAAGATCACGTCACACCTTATAATTTGGGGATTCTGACACTATTTAAATTATTGGCACCTGTTGTCTATTACATAGAGTTGTGTTTTTTTTTCTACTGGCTCAGTCTGTTACATTAATAATACATTTTCTATGTTCAAGCACACAACTTTACATATACAAAGATCACTAGCAAATATCTGGCTGTTCTGGCTATTTACAACACTAACTTCATTCTGCCATAAAAGTTAAGTTTTGGTTCTCATCTGTACGCATTATTAATATATCCTAAAACTTGAGCAATACAATATTTTCTTTATATGATATATGCCTTTGTGTGCTTAAAGCTGTTTTCTTTTGCATTCACTTTCAAAGGCTGTTACTAAGCCCACAGTTTTAAAGGAGCATTGCCGCTAACCCTGTAAGTCATACATACAGTATTCCTCTTCTCCACATTTCCACACTTTGTTGTCAATGCCTATTTTTCCTGGTGGACACTATAGATAATCTCCTGCATGAAATGTGGGACAGGAGGGTGTTGCATGGCAGTGGAGCCCAGTTTTTCCTGTTAAAGTGAGTTGGCGACAAATGTCCCTGTCCGTGAGGAAAGTTAGCATCCCAGGCTTCCTTCAAACAAGCAGAAGCAAATGTGTGAGGTTACAGAATGGTCACTTCAGAAGTGAGCTATCTCCTCAAAGTATGGAATGGAGGACATTGGTGGGTTCCACTCGGACTTGTTTGATGATCATGCATCTTACTGTTAGTCCCACAATATTTCATGGTGAATGAAATCCCCAGTGTTTCAGCTCACTTAGGAACGGAGCGGGTATGGAGCACCCCTGGGTATATTCCTTGAGTGGCCTGGGGAAAAATCTTGTATTAGAAACCTTTGGGAAATCTTTTTTCCCCCAAGTATTATGATAACCAGCCAATTAAGATGGCCACCAGATGTATTCTGTGGACATTTGGGATTGCGGTTCCCACGTGCTTTGATTAGTCCTCAATCGATGGGAAGCTCTGGTTGTCACCATTATGCCACTGAGATCAAGTGTTAGCAAAGTACGGTTCAAATGACCTGATGATGATATATGTACCTATATCTAAATATATCTACATATATCATTAAGAGCTTTTCTCTTCCAAAAGATGGGATTTTATTGTAAATAGTTTCTCAAAAGTATTTTTAACTGGATCATGAGCATGGGGAGAGGAAGTTTCTCAGCTGCTAAGAATTTCCCCACTGTTTACTTTTGTCACTTACAGTGGTATTGCATAGAAGATGACAACATTTAAGGTTTTATTTGTATCTATTACCCAAAACTGTTGAACTGTCTTTAATTTCATCATTGTTTTCGAGGTGGGGGTGTCTGAAGGGCTGAGGGGGGAGCAGGCCCTCTAGGCAGTCAGCACCCTCACCCCGGACTGAGACCATCCCAACCAGTAGTGTGTGAAGTCCAGTCTTTGTACCGCTTCCAGACCAAGCATTGAAGTGGACTCAATTATAGAAATCTCTGTCAATCCTGTAAGTGAAAAGATAGCCAACTGTCAGCAGTTGCTTCTTTAAAAAAAAAAAAAAGGTCACTCTAATAAGTACTATATAGTACATTATTAATTTATAGCAGGAAATCATATCTTGTAAAATGTATATAAAACACTGTTTTATGGTGCAATCATTTGTCAAACTTTTGTCTGATACATTGTTTTTAGAGTGTACATTCTTCTCATACCTAAGAATATCACTGTAAAATCTGCTGAAAAGTATTTTAGGTTTAATTTGCACAAGGCTGAATTAGTTTGAAAAATTTTGGAAGCTCCTATTGAACACGCCTAAATATCTGTAAGCATAAAACTCTTAAATTCATTAAAAGCAAACCTTTCAGTATAATTCTTCCCAAAGGTAATCCATGTTCTATGTTGTTAATGTGTGTATGTGATTTTTCTGAATCTTCCACCTCTTAAAAACCTACTTTCTGGTTCATTTGTTTTGTTTTTGAAGGATGGTTCTCCCCCCAACCCACCCCCCTACCCTTTTAATGTTCTAGATGACCAAAACATTTTATTGGTTTTTCACCCTTTTGCCTAAAGCTTGATATCTTCACTTGATGTTCTGAGAATTCATTTTAATCTCTTAAGTAATACATAGTCCTGGTGACAAACAGTGTATTGATTTAGAGGAAAGGCCCTGAAAAGGTATTGCAAACTAACTTTGCGTGTATTCTTAGCTATTATTTCGCATCATGGGCTTCGAGGGAAGAACATGTTGCATTTATTTTGTCTTTGTTAAAAGACTTATAGCCACCAGTTACTCTGACTGTAGTAACTGTCTTATCAACCCATTTTGATCTTCTTTTTAAAAATGAAATTTACATTCACAATTCAGAACAGTAAGCTGTTTCAGAAAATTTTTGAAGGATAAAAATACATGAAGAAAAAAAAAAGTGGCCTGTGTGGGTAGAATTCCTTACACAGGACTTTAGTTGTATCACCTCAAGCAATTTTAAAGTTTGTGATCAAGGTCTGTATATTATCCCAAACTTTATTAAGAATTGTTTTCTAATTGGTTATAACATTTTTTCAATCAATAGTTTCAAAACAAATTGTTAATATAACTGTATAAAATGAACATAATTTTCTTCACTTGTATTTTTGTTATTGAGCAAGTTTATCAAAATAAATTGTCTACTAAAGAAACTAAAAAAGTCTTCTATTACTTTGAAATAAGCTTTGAGTTTGCAGTGGAGTTTTACTTGTACACACAGGGACACTTGCATGCCTCCTGAACTGATTTCCTTGTGAGCAATCTGTGAGAGAACTCCTCTCTCTACTACTCCTAACCCCAGTCCAGGAAAGTAATATCATGAATACTCCAGAATCTGGATTTGCTCATTTGAAATAAGAGGATTCCTTAGCAATAAAATAGCACATACCAATTGAAAAAACAAACCATCGTATTCCATGAGCTGAGGGAAAAAATGAGCCAAATCTCCTAAGGTCAGCCGTCTTTCTCTGTTGTCTTCCTTGCACATATTTTTCAGGCCATCTTTGCATCAATTATCTAGATTTTCCTGCCAACAAAAGGCTCTTGCTTTCAAAGACCTCAAAGTATGGTTTGGAAGATCATCATAGAATATTGGTATTTACACTTGTTCACTGGCTCCATTACAGCTTTACTGTATCTCTGAGGATTTATTCTACCTAATAAGAACTAGGGATAAAATCTCACATATTGTGTATTTCTTTACACACACTGGGTATTTCTGTATCTGGCCATTCCTGGAGCATCATGAGCAGCTGAAAGTAAGACATGGTAAGCATGGCTGTTCTTGGATTCTAGGACTTGAGGGTATCTCAGAGGATGCCCAGACATCCCTGTTTGTCTGAAACTGAGTTTCCCTTGGGATGGACAGTTGTGTATGGGGGAGAGTTCCAGACAAATGAGGATGGATACTTCTATCCTCACACCACTGAGACCTTATCCTAACTTATTACACAGAATGGAGGTAGTCAATGAAGTCTTTTCCATAAATGTTAGCAAGCAGGACAATTGGGAATTGTAATGACATGCTTTTGCTGAACTGGAAGGAGGGGTGGTTTTCTTCAGTATGCTTTAGGAAGAAGTGACACTACGCCTTTACTAATGACTTGGGTTTATAAATGCTTTTTTCTTTTTCTTTCTTTTTTCTTTTTGCTGGGCACAGATTGGCTCATATCTGTAATCCTAGTTAGGAAGCTGAAATCTGAGGATCATATTTCCAAGCCAGCTTGGGCAGACAAATCCTTGAGACTTTTCTTTCCAGTTAACCAGCAAAAAAAATCTGAAACTGCAGGTATAATTCAAGCAGTAGAGCATCAATCGTGAAAAAAGCCAAGCGAGAAGCACAAAGCACTGAGTTCAAGCCCTAGTACCAGCAAGCATGCACAGCACATACACACACACATACTGGCTTTATTTAGCCCTCTCTATTCTATTCTAAGCACTGTATAAGAAGTATATAGGAAGAACATCAGGATTAGAGCAAGGACTGTGGGTTCTTTCATGCACAGTCAACTCTTAGATCATGGTTACCCAGCAACACAATAAATGAAGTTATTTATAAAGGGAATTAAAGATAGAAAGTATACTGTATTCTTTTTTAGAGTTTTAGTTCTTTTTCTAGGAGAAAAAAATTGTGGGATGATATTTGCAAGCACTTTAAAGCTTTTTGTGTTGTGGGGTTTTTTTGTGTGTTTTTTGGTTTTGTTTTTGGTCAGTCATGGGCTTGAACTCTGGGCTTAGGTATTGTCCCTCAGCTCTTCAGCTCAAGTCTAGTGCTCTACCGCTTGAGCCACAGCGCCACTTCCAATTTTCTAGTGGTTCATTGGAGATAAAAGTCTCACAGACTTTCCTGCCTGGGCTGGCTTTGAACTGCAGTCCTCAGATTTCAGCCTCCTGAGTAGCTAAGATTATAGGTGTGAGCCACCAGCGCCCGGCTAAAACAATACTTTTTCGTATGAAGAAATCAAGGCTTCAGACTTGGGGTTCCAAAGTCACAATCTGGTCTCAGTGGCACACTCAACATAGGAGGTAGAGGGTTCCACTCTTGGAACCAGT